CAAGAATTTGATTTGGGGATATTTCCATACATTTAGCTTTACTCTATTATTCAATAATCTTTTCCTCTTCTCTGAACAAGGTACTCTATTGTAATTGTGAACCAGGCTCTAAAACACCTTTAACCAATTCTATCTAGTTTTTAGGGGTAATTCTATTACACACTGACCACGAGTTTAACATTTGGTTCACAAAAGGTGAATTCATGCCTCATGAGACTATTGCTTCCTTAAATCCCCTTAAATCTAACACTGGCACAGGAGTCCAGTTAACTGTAATGGAATTTTTGACATTTGGCAATTACTATAAAGTTATTGGATATCCTAAGGTTGTTTGTTTGAAAACTTTAGACTTTTCCTCACTATTCTTATAATGCAATGCTGAAATTGGTTCTCAATTAAATTCCTCTGTCTGGATTTGGATTTGAATAGCTGTGTAACCTGTTTTACTAGGTTTTTCTAAGGGCTGTATCTTAGCTCTCAGATGAACCAACTTTTTAGTGATAACCAAAAATGATAAAGTTGATAATGTTTAAAACTGACATTACATAAATCTCATCTAAATCAGTTATGCTCTCATTTAATTCCCGTTTCAAATGGTCTAGCATATTATCATACAGACATCCAAATCCTTCCATTGTAATGGTTTTCCCCATTTTTAATGTGGGAAAAAACTCTTTTTACTAATTCATCTTTTTAAGAATTCCCAATTGTCTTACCAAATGTTCTGCTGACATTGATGAAGATGAGAGGCTTATTGCTGTTGCACAGAACAATAAAAGCTTGACTGAATTTCAAGGCAACTAACTAGTTGGGCAGCAGCCTAAGAAAGGGGTTCAGGGAGAGCCCGTAAGGAGAGAAAAAAGAGAAACCTAGCCAGTACAGCAGTGACTCCAGCAATGTGTAGGTCCGACCTATGCTGGTGGCTGTAAAGTCACAAGGAAACAGCTTTTTCATGAATTCATACCCCAAATGTTGGATGCCAGATGTAGCATGAATAATAAAAACTCAGAGACAGACACTGGGGTTCAAAATAATGATCAGAAAAGCAAAGCAGTCAGCCACTGGCTCTTACCTGTACCTCAGACTGAAAATGAATGATCCTGCCTCCATGAATCCTCAGATTGAGACTGAGCACAAGACCTGTCTCCTCCCATCTTATATTCCTCTCTAGTGCTGGGATTAAAGACATGCACCACCACAACCTGGTCTCTATGGCTAACTATTATGATGCCTAGAATTAAAGATGTGTGCCACCACTGCCTGATCTGTATGAATGACTAGTGTGGCTGCTTTGCACTGATCTTTAGAAAAGCTTTATTTATTAAAACACAAAAAATATGCCTCTATAATGAAATAAGTCAAACATGGAATAAAATATGTGATATGATTTCAGATGTTATGTGGAAAACAAAAAAAATTCAACTATACAGAGATAGAGGCTAAAGCAGTAGTTACTGGGAAAAAGACAACTGGGAGGAAATAGGAAATATATATCAGGAGATACATAGTAGAATAGAAGATATTCAAGACTATAAATCTAATATACAATGTGAGTATAGTTAATAGGTTTATAAATATTAGGTTGCTTAATAAGTAATCATTTTATTGTCTACATGTATCTCATAATACCATGTTGCATTAAATTTACACTAAATTAAAAATAAAATTTATTTTACAAAGAAACATTTATTCAAGAAAATATCTACTGAACTTTAGTTAGTAAAAACAGGAACATGTGCTCAGCTTTAGATGTTCTTTGTTCCTACTCTAGCTCCATTAGCAGTATTTTTATAAGGGTAGACAATCCAAAAAAACCTGCAGTTCTGCTGTCAAAGTGAACTAACTTGATTTGGAAAACAGTTCAGAAAAATCCTTGCCCTAGGTTTTGTGCAGGCAAGAAACACAGTAAAAGAATAGCCAGAAATCTAACAACATGAACCAGAGAATGAGGTATTCTAAAGAGTCTTGAAAAGCTCCAATATGCATTTATGTTTGGAACGACACACACTTATGCAAGTCTATATGTACACTAAGGAAAGATGGAAAATTGTAAGGGTGTTCTACTTATCCCTGGAAGAAAATGAAGAATTGTGCAGGCATAAATAAAATATGAGAAAAGGAGAAAATAAAAACCATGGTAGACTTCTAAGTAGCATAAATATTTAATGTGACTCAATTCACACATATATCAATCGGCAAAAGAAAAAACATTGATGGTTTGAGGTTTTTAAGAATGACTTTTGGGATGGCCTATACGCTATTCCAAAGATTCTCAATCTCAGAACTATGATACATATGCTGAAACAGTATGGCTCCTTCAGATTATTCATTTTAACTATATATATAATCTTCACTTAATTAATGTACTAGTTACTTCAGTATTTGTAGTGGAACCTTCATGGTTTTCATATGAAAAACCATACCTTTTCTTTTTCTCACCTAATTACCCTGGGTAAGGTTTCTAGTCTAATGATCAATAGAAGCAGCAACTGTAACCTTTCTATCTTGTTTGTGATCTTAGAAGAAAGATTTCAACTTAAGAGCTCCAAATAGCCAAAGCAATTTTGGATAGAAAGAACAAAAGTAGAGATATCATATTACCTAATTTCAAAAGATGTTACAAAACCATAATAATGAACATGGCATATAACTGTTATAAAAATAGACAAATTGACCCGTGGGACAAAGAGCTGATGTAGGATTCCCCTCTGTATGCTGTGATTATCATTGATTAATAAAGAAACTGCTTTGGACCTATAGCAGGGCAGAGCAGAGGTAGGCAGGGAAAATTAAACTGAATGCTGGGAGAAAGAAGATGGCATCAGAGAGAAGCCATGTAGCACCACCAATACAGATGTTAGAACTTTACCTCTTAAGCCACAGCTTCGTGGCGATACATAGATTAATAGAGATGGGTTAATTTAAGATATGAGTTAGCCAGAAATACGCTTAAGCTATTGGCCAAATAGTATTGCAAATAATATGGTTTCTGTGAGATTACTTTGGTTCTGGGCAGCTTGGAACAAACAAGCAGCCTCCTACAACAGAGAACCATGTGTTCTAAAGTACACATGAAAACCCACCAAGAAAGACCACATTCTTAGACATAAAACAAAGCTCAAAAGGTTAAAGAAATCTAAAAATATATAATGTTTTCTCAGTATAATGGAATTAACTAGAAATAAATAATAGTAAAATATAAAAGTACTGTGCATTTAGAAATTAAGCTATAAGCATTTAAATATACAAATAAACATTCTGAACTAAATCAAAATGAGTATACAGTTTACAAAAATATTAGAAGGTGCTGTGGGAAGATTTACAGCTAGTAACTATCTGCCTACTGGGGCGTGGCCTCATAGACTATTTACCTGGATGCGGAAGTGCATCCTGCCCCTTCTCTCCTCCCTCTGGGCCCCATTTTGCTGGTTCGGTTTGTTTTGGATCTCATCTTTATCCATTGTTCAAGCAGGGAATCCTGATTTGTAAGTTTTACCCCTTAATAAATGCCAGTCTATTTCTTAGTTCTGAGCTAGTGTGGGATTCCTTTTTTTAAGCGTCCAATCTCTCAACCATCAAGAAAGTACTAAAGAAGTGATTAGAAGGAAATATATTGCAATAAATGCATACAGTAGAAGATCTAAAATTAATAGCCTAAGTTATAACATTAAGAAATAAAACAAGAACAAATTAAACTTAATGAATAGTCAAAAATGGATAAGAAATAGATTGAAAATGAGAGATAAGAAAAAAAATCAATGAACCCAAAAATGATTTCCTTGAAAGAAATAAAACTAATAAATCTTTAGCTATGTTAGTCAAGATAAAAGGGAAAAGAAACAAGTTACCAACATCAAGAAAATTAGTTTAAAGTTGATTAGCTACAAAAAGTCAAGAAAAATATTCCATTCATTTAGTTCCTAAAATAAAGTACCTAGGAATAAATTTAGCCAACAAAATAGCATCTCTGTATTCAAAACTATAAAACATTGATGAAAGACTTGAGAATACAGAATAAATATATCATTGGAGCATCTGTAGTCATTGCTGATATAATCAAGTTTAAAAGTTATAATGATTGCCATCTTTATAAGGAGAGGCTTACTTCAAAATAATGTAGAGGACAATGTAATGGAAGCAAGATTGAAGTGATGATTCTATAAGCAAGCAAGCAAAGAAACAAAAAAGCCAAGAATTTCTGGCATCTAAAAGAAAATAGAATAGGTTAACTGAAGATTCTGTCAAAGACCTTTGAAGGGAGTATCTTGCCAATACTATGATTTTCCAAAGACATTGTGAGAAAATATATTCCTATGTTTTATTCGATCTGTTTACTTCTCTAGTTGGCCATGTCAACCTGGAAGAGTGAGCCTAAAAATGAAGTGTTCTGAAGTTTCATGTATATAGCCAACTTTATTCAGAATATGAGACAATTTATACTCTGAGGGTTAAGAAGAATCACCCGAGTAAAGTATACAATTACCAGGACAAGCCACATGTGGCAAAAACATGTTTTTTCATAGAGGCATATGAATAAAAATAGCTGAAACAAACTTACATTTATTCATTACAACTGGTAGGAACAAAAAAGCAAATCCCAAGAACAATTCTGTGCTTTTAAAGAAACCGAGGTCACAAGACTCTTGTTTTCTTGGAGTTTTCTCACAAGCACTCAGAATTTCCCTCATACAACTCCATTCTTGGAGTGTATTCTGACACTATTCAGTTTGAAATCCTTTCAGAAACCTTAGGAATCAATACAATGGGTAAAGCTCGCTCTACACTTTACCTTGTAGTACTTTCTGTGTTTGTAATATTCCTAGTCTATATGCGTTAAACATTTTATCATGGCTATTGAGGCTTTCTTTTTTTTCTTAGATGATACAGGGTATGAAGTTTGGCTGGAGCACTGCAGAGTTATCTCTAACTAAGATGGGATTTTAGTGTGCTATCTGTTTTTACCACAATTAAAAATTAATATGTCCCCACACATCTCTTACCCAAATGATCTTCATGTTGGAGCCAAGTACAATTCACAGACTTGGAAGATGTATGGCGCCAATGGGTGGATAAGGAAAATAAACTTTTAAAGTTGGACAGGTGAAGAGCTTGACCTATGTCTCCTCTCTTCATCAAATTCTGCAGCCTGCTTTGTAGGTGCAACAACTTATGGCACCACATCCTAGAAGACAAGAGAGAGTAACATAATTTTTATTAGGCCATGGGAATAATGATACAATTATAAATATAGCTATACGTATTATAAAACAATAGGTTTAATGATCTCAATAAGACAAACCAGATAATTTGAAAAGCATAGTTATCTTAATTTGTGGTATGGGAAGAGGAAGAAAGCCATGTAACCAAAAAAAGTCTATGTGGTTCTTCAGGTGACTCTATTTAATGACCTGGCAAATATGTAGTAAAGTTAGTAAAAACAAAAAACTAATTTTGAGTTGACTTGTGTATGTGTACATATATATATATGTACACACACATATGTATATTTATATGTACATTCATATGTAGGCTTGATAATATGTACTGAATTTTATGTTTATTTATGGGGTGAAACTAATAACACATAAATACCATAGGTAGAGACTCAAAAGACTTTAGTGATTTCTTGGGAGCGTTCTGAAATAACAGGCTATGAGGTGACTAAAGTTAAATTTTTTGAGCTTTTGTGGATGAGAGCAGAGAGGAGAATGATAAAAGGCCTCTACTGATATGCATATGGATTATATTTGTTTTCTTCACTGTTTCTTGTTTCTCACCTCATGCAGAGAGGTATTATATATGATGGGCTCCATAAATGAGTTATGGATTTTCTATTTTTAAAATGTTAAAAACATAAAAATGAAGGTAGATGAAGGTAGTATGTGATTTGTAAAGCCTAAAATATTTGCCATCTCTTCAAAGTAAAGATCATAACCCATAGTCTAATACTTAGTTTTTATTCAAATATACCCTGCAACATAAAATAAGTCCTTCCAAATCCACTCTTGAGAAGTTGTAAATTCATTCATTACTTATTTTTCCCAATAAATATTAACTCATATTAAATATATACCAGAATTTATCTCTCTTTGCTTGCTTATTCCTGCTACCAAAGCTACAGTTAGTTGTGCCTGTTGCCAGGACTTCCTTAAATCATTTGCCAGAATAAATACTTATTTTCAAAAGTTGTTTTGTCAGATATTTTGTCATACCAATACAACCTGGAAAACAACAAGGACACAACTATAAGGACTGAACTGAGTCTGACAGACTTGCAGACACAGATATTCTCAGGCACAAACTGAGGGATTGGTAGAAAAGCAACGAGGGTCAAGGTTAACATTGGAAAAGTTAAATATGAGCCTCAGACACTGAAAATTATATGTGAAAATGTAATTACTCAGAACAACAGAAAGAAAACTATAGCTGTGGGTGGACAAAGTACAGGTATACCTTTTATAAGCAATGATGAAAACCAGGAAAGCAAGGAATGGTATATTCAATCCTTGGAAGTAAACAATTGCCACTCAAGATTGCAATCTTGAGAAAACATATTTTTGAGTTTAATATAAACAGAAAAGTTTATTATAGATTTATAGGTAGGAGTCAAAAGAGAGAAGGAGGGAGGGAAGAATATAGATAGAGAACAGGGCTCTTGTATAAGAGGAAGGGTCCCAGGAGATAGGATAACATCAAGTTGTTAGTCTGGGGCCTTTTTAAAGGACTAATGGCAGAAACTGGGATGAAGTATGGGGAGGAGTATGAGTTGATTAGTTCAGTTGTCCCAGCAAGGTGTTTATGTGCCTCCTCTCAGTTTCAGTCATGTGTTGTTGCGGGAGCTCCTTTCGCTCCTTCATTCAATAGCTGCTGAGATACCAGCCCATTGGAGCATGGTCTCTCTCTCTTTAAAAAAGCAGCCACTTCCCTTTGCTCTCTCTCTGGCTTCTGGTTCCGCTTCTGGCGACTAGGCTCCCTTCCTGATTGCGCAGAGGGCTGTTGTCTGGGATGGTGATCTGTAAGTTTTTCCCCCTTAAATAAATAACAATCCTATTAATCATAATTCCAAACTGGTGTGGGATTGTTTGTGACTTACGCCTTCAATGGAGTCACATAGAGGCTTTATGCAAAATCACTCACTTAGGGGATAATAAAGAAAAAGAACTGTTTAACTCTGGCACTGCTCCAGCAAAGGAATGTATGGAACTTCTGCTTTGAGGTCCTAACCCTACCAGACCAGTTTCTGTCTCCTGTTCTCATCATTCTCCTCATCTAAAGAAGTAACGCTGAAATCATTTAGGAGTCAGACCAGGGATCAGAGCCCACAAATACTCTTTGGCAATTCTGGCCTCTGGCAGTACAGAACCAAGGACATTTTAAATTTGTGGCCAAGGGCATGAATCGAGGCCCCAATATGTAAATAGTATGTCCTGTTTTTTTTTTTTTTATTATTATCTCCTGTCCTCATCTTTCCCTCCTCTGAAGAGGCAACATTAGCTTTCATTAGGGAACTGGGATCATGATCTACATAGCCTTTTAAAGTTGAGTAGGGTTGTCAGGTGCAGCAGTTGGGGTACTACTGCAGTGCTTCTTTCTAAGGGACCTTGAATGTTCATCAGTGGTTTTATCTGAATAATTGTTATATGTAAGGTGGAAAGGAACTCCTTGGCTGGCGCCTATAAAGTAATATAAGAAAGTAAAGGCAAGAGTTAGCATTCCTGTGAAGTTGAAGCCTGGATTGCCTTGGAGATCCTAAAGTGTTGGAAATGCCAGAGCTGTGAGATACCTGCCTAGGAAAGCTGTTAATAGAAAGTAGAACCAGTTGAAAAGAGAGAAGTGTGTTGCAATCAACAAAGCTGAAAGAAGCTGGAGATCTGAAGAGCAACTTGACATCAGACATGGAGATGTAGAGTTTGGAGTCTACCCAGCTGGGTTTTGGTCCTGCTTTGGTTCAATATTTTCTCATTATGTTTCCCTCCATCCCTTTTGGAACAGTAATGAATATCCTGTGCCATTATATGTTGAAATAGATAATCTGCTTTTTTGTTTTGATTGTACAGGGGTTAAAGTTAAAAGATTGCATGAATCTCAGAAGAGACTTTGAACTTTTAAACAAGTTTGAGACTGTTATAGGCTATGAGGGCTTTTAGAGGTTGGACTAAATGCATTATGTTATGACTACAGGTGTATGGAGGCCAGGTGGTGGTTTCAATAAAAATGGCCCCTTTAGGCCCACTGGGAAAGGCATTATTAGAAGGTGTGGCCTTGTTGGAGTAGGTGTGGCCTTGTCGAAAGAAGTGTGTCATATGGAGAGGGATTTGAGGTTTCAAAAGCTCAAGCCATGCCTAGTCCTGGGAGGTCCTGCTGCTCAGAGGTTGCAGTCTATCATGGACTGGCAGCTCTCTCAAAGCTGGGCAACATGGATAACTTCCTCTCCCTGGTGGAAGGCACCCTGTTTTCTGGTAGACCTTATTTGGAAACTGTCTCTAGAACTGGATGCCTGACTTATCTCTAATATGACCCTGGAAGCAGTTCTCTGCAAAAACTCTTCCCCCTGATGCCCACATGGTAATTAGATATTGTGCTAGGAACATTACAATAGGACCACACTTCCACATATGATAACTAAGACTTGTAACTAGGAACTTTATGATAGGAGCATATTGTTTAATGCAAATTAGGTGATTTCCAAACTACTGTTCCCAATCCTATATATTCCCTATATTCTGGAGTAAAGTTGAGCAGAGTCACTGAAGTAGTCTCCTGGACAGCTGTCTTCCTCATGTTCACAGGCTGTTCAAGGCTTTCTATCATTGCTTCTTCCCCTTGTCCTTGTTGACTAGTAGCTAACAGGCTGTGAAAATAAAGGGGAGCCACAGACTAGTAGTTCCTTGTCTCTTCCTTCTGCCTGCTGATCCATATGTAGAATTCTCAGCTACATTTCCATGACCAAGTCTGCCTACATACTACCATGCTTCTTGTCATGATGATAATAGACTAAAACTCCGATGAAATGTTTTCCTTTATAAGACAAAATAAGGTTATATTAGCAATCCAAATCTTAGGCAGAGAACCACAAGAGGCCCAAACAAAGGACATTTTCACATGTCAGAATTAAAGTTCATTAGCATCTCTTGATGGGCTTACAATGTCTATTCACTGGACTTTTCTCAAGGGTTTTTCGTTGGTCTCCAATGCTGGACTCCAGAGTGATGAACTCAGAATCTGAGCCAAGGTCATAATGTTCTATATATGAGCAGCATCTTCTTTATTAAGAAGAAAATCCTTAATGAGAAAAATATTGTCTAAACAGCATCTCATACAGATTTGTGATTTCATGGGCTGCTAAGAAAAGAGCCATTTTAATCTTTGGTTATAATTTCCTGTTTGGGTATATAAAACCATGGAGAAAGCCAAAATTAAGCATTTTTTTCTTTTTGACTATTAAGTCCAGTTGAGAATATTACCCTTAGGAGTCATTTTATCTTGAGATAAGCCTCTAAAACAAAAAATAAAATCAGTTGCTCCATCTGTTGAGAATGGACCAAAGGCCTCACTTGACCATGGAAGCATGGAAGTATGTGTCCCTCTGTGTTGATTCTCCTCACAATCATACTTTTAATATAGAGAAATATAGATATCTCTAGACAAAAACAACCTAAAACAATTTATGACCAGCAAGATGACAGTAGTGTATAATGAATTCTTAAGAGTGTCTCAATCACAAGGGCATAAAACAATAAATTTTGTAACAGGAGTAGATGAATAACTAGGTAAGAATACATTATATCCATTATAATAAGAGTTTTCATTGTTGTGAAGAGACACAATGATCATGACAACTCTTATAAAGAAAACATTTAATTGGGATGACTCACAGTTTCAGAGGTTTAGTCAACTATTATCATGATAGGGAGCATGGCAGTGTGCAGACAGATGTGGTCCTGGAGTAGACAGCAGGAGTCAACTAAAACACTGGGCTGTATCCTGAGCATAGGAAGCCTTAATGCCTGCTCCCATAGTGACACACTTCCTCCAACAAGGCCATACCCACTCCAACAAAGTCACACCTCCTAATAGTGCCATTCTCTATGAGATTATGAGAGCCAATTCCATTCATACTACCACAGTGTCCAACACAGTACTGTGGCAAGTGTTTCTCTGTGCTGTCAGTTCCCAAATAAC